CAGTATTTAATTTGCGAATAACTCAAAAAGTACACATTTTTAATTGATTATACTATATGTATTTGTATTATATGTATTCCCAGCTTCCTGAATTCCCTACAAAATAAAAAAATCATCGAAATTGATAAGAATTATATCCGAAATGAAAATAATCGTAGCAACCTCCAATTACCAATTTTCACTGGAATCGAAAAATAAATATTTTTTGCGTCAAATTTTCAAGGCAGGAGAGGAGGCCTTCCTTTTTTTTCTAAAAATCACAGAAGTTGTTATAACTTCCATATGGCTCAAGTTATCTAAACGAAAAATTTTATGCATTTAGGGCCTTATAATATACATGAAATAGCATAAACCAGAGGTCCGCGAGATCTATAAGTGATGTAGTCTCGTATGTGAAAATATGTCCGTTTAGTGAAATGATTTTCAGTAAGTAGAGCAATATGTTTTTTTTGTCATGAAGAAATATGTCAAGTTCGTCTCGGTGGTTGTGTGGTCCGTTAGCATTCCTTAAAAGATAGTTAGGGGCTTTGTGCTCATCGAGGGAAATTAAACGGAATTTAGGCAAGAATTCTGGTGAGTAGAGTGATAAGAGGTTTTATAGTGTTTTGGAGGTCCAATTTGAAGGATGATAGAATGAAAGTTATGTCAGATAAGATGGTGGTTGTGAAGTAGATTTAGGATAGATTCTCGTGGTGGGTAAGAAATGTTAACTGAGGGTGGGATCCGTCGTTGTGTCTGAGGTGGATCTGGATTCGACGGTACGGTGCTTGTTTTTTTTCTGGACATTAGGATGTGATGGGTGAGGATGCTGTGGCGGCAATTTAACCAGTAACGGTAGATGATGAGGGGGAATTTGCGGACGCAGAGGATGACATTGAGGATTGGGAGTATGATGTTTGGATTATGAGGTGTGAGGCACCATGCGTTGAGGCTGCTGCTTATATGAGGCCGAATGGGCTAACGCATGTGCACTGCATTGCCGTTGGTTGGCAACCTGATACATAAGACTTTGATAAAAAAAATAGTCTCGAGTTCGCTTCCCGGTGCCCGGAGGAGTTTTTAAATCCCTGCCCACACTCCCTGGCCCGGGAAACCCCCGTATGGCCTTAAAGGCGAGGAAGGGGAGGACAAAAAAAAAAAAAATATGCTGCTTTTGATGGTGGTTTGGGTGTAAGATTTACTGAAGTCCTGATGAGGATGGTCCATGTCAGTTGAAATAGACGGTTCTTGTTAGGTGACATTGGTAATTGTTTTCGGCAATTCAGGAAAAAATTGAAATATTTTCAATTTCTGATGGCTGGATGTAACTTTCATTATTCATTTTAAGAATTTTTAAAGCTATGTTCCGTGGTCTTAGCTTGTAATGATTTTTGTAGACTATGCATCCTTTGTTGCTTGCCGGATGGTCTTCGCAACAAAGAGCACATTTAGGAGGCTGGTCTAGAGGTTTTAGACAAGTATTAGACGCATCTGTTACCCGAAACATTTTACGCACATGGTCTGATGATGGCAAGAGGTCTTTGTGTGCCTCAGTTCTTAACAAGTAGTTCATTGTACTATCGCTGGTTTATTTCTAGGCTCTTCAAATTTAACTGTTGAATATATAAGTCGATTGACTTGAAATATCTCGATGCTATTACTATCAGGCTCCAAATCAAAGAAGAATAAAGGTCCAGGATATATCGGCGTTGGATGTAGCACGCAAGATATGTGCCTAAGATTGTGACCTATTTCTTCCAGGCCAGGCTTAATAACGGATATAGGAGTGGTTGTGTGCAGATCTGTCAGGACCACACGATATGTCTTTTCTTGTCTTAACTGATAACAGTGAAAATCGCAGTTTCTAAATGAAAAGTAGTTTATTAGTGTTCTATAATTTTCTCTTGAGTTTTTATTGATCTTGATGTCGTTTACCCTGGAGAAACAGCGAAAATCTTTCTGACCTATCAGATCGACAACTTCTTAATCAAATTTATCAATTTTGGAAACAAATATAGGTGGCGGCTCGGGGTCAGTAAAACCTAGAGGCTCCGGAGGTTTCTTAGATGAGTTACTAACCGGAAAAGATTTTTTGTTGGCTGTGGTATTTGGTACAGTTGGTGTTGATTATGTGATATTTAATTGGCTTCTAGTCTTGGGTGGTGATTTATTTTGCTCGGCTATTTGTTTGGATTTATTTAATTTATTTTGTTCGGCTGAGAATTTATTTTTTGTCGATATATTTTTTTCGTATTGTATGAGTTGCCCGCTGACCCTGGAGTAGAGTTTTGGAGAGTGAGCGTCTTTTCAGATATTGCGAGTCAGCTTCGCTAACTTCTGAAAATGGTATCTCGTCATCTGTATCTTCGCATGAAGAGTTCTTGTCCAAACTCATATTTTCCATGTTAATGATAATAATTAGAATTTTATATATATATATATATATATATATATATATATATATATATATATATATATATATATATATAAATATTATATGTGAGAAGGTGTTAGTCGAGGGTGCGGTCAAATAAATAAAAAATTAAAATATATTAATTATTTTAATTTTTGCCGACGTTTCGATGGCAGTGTTTCAACTGCCTCCCGCAGTGCCACATCCTATGCCCTGAAGACGACCTGCAAAGTGGGTGGAAACGTCGGCAAAAATTAAAATATTTTAATTTTTTATTTATTTGACCGCACCCTCGACTAACTCTTTCTCATATTATATCAACGGTCAACCATCTCTACATCATTATATATTAAATGGGGGCTGGGTCCTTCGAACAATAGTTGATGCTCTGTTCTATGTAACTCACCAAATCCTACAGAATGACCTAAATATTCTATCCTATCCTCAATAAAGAAATATCCTAAAAAAAAAAATATTATTTGACTGATCACCCCAACCAGTTAAGGGGAATCATGAATGGAGAATTAGACGCAACCAAGAACTAGCCAACTTATACAAGAGCCGGATGTGGTGAAATATATCCGGATGATGATGATGATCACTTTAGAAAAATCCTCTTAGAAGATGATTTTACTCTTTATTTCTTTTTTCATAAAAAGAGTAGTTTTTTCAAACCTTTTTCGGAAATATTTTCCACCATCCAGAGTGGTGCGCGCCCCCAAGCAGAAACCACTAGTGCTGGTCAAGATCATATATTTTTTTTATATTACTTTAGAAAATTTCTCTATAAGGATGAGTTTTTTCTACATTTCTCTTTTCTTTAAATAGCTGTTTTTTTTTTGTTTTTTTTGGGAGTGTTCCCCTACCATCCAGGGGACAAAGGGGCGCGTTCCCTCTCTCAGTACTGGTCACGATAATATTTTTTTTTATAACACATTAGAAAATTCGTCTTAGAGGATAAAGTTTTCCTATTCCTCTATTTTTTAAATAACTGTTTTTGGGACTTTTCAGAATTATTTTTCCACAATCCAAGGAAGAGCGCGCCCCCTGGCAGAATTCACTTGTACTGGTCACGATGATAATTTTGTTTTTATATATCATTAGGAAATCCGTCTATGATGACAAATTTTGCTTATATTTCTCTTTTCTTTAAATAACTGCTTAGTGAAACTAATTATTCATATTTACAACATCTATTTACAATTTTATAAGAACTGAATGAAAAAGAGATGATTGAACAGGCGGAAATTAAAGGTGGGGACGTTATTGGAGCGACGAATGTTGGGTGGGATAGATTTCCATAGGGATGTGGTTCAAATAATGAAAGATCTGCCGAAAGCAACGGTTCGGTTGGCTCTTAGAGGTCGTGGTGGCCGAGTTTGTTGGAGCGTTGCCCTGTCTAGCATCCTGGTGCCTAGCGACGCCGGTTCGAATCCGGTCTGGGAGTGGTTGACTTTTATTTCGTGGCGGCCCACTCGTCCCTCCCACTGTGGTTAGAATAGATTTGTTTGTACATCTAGAACAATCCCCCCTCCCGTATGCTAGAAATGGTGGGTAGGGGTTATCTAATAAAAAAAAAAAAAGGTTCGGTGGACTCTTGTGTACAAATCTGAAGACTCGGGACGTGTTTTGAGGAAGTGGACAAAGGATTTGAATTGAAGGAGCTCGGAGATGTATGAAGGACGGCGGGATTGGATGACTTGGAAGAAGAAACATTCTAGGAAATACTTACGCCGGTAGAAAGGATAAAGGCATTTCAGCTCTTCATAATAACTTGAAACAGAGTCGTCCCTTGGAATCTCGAAGATGAATCGCGCAAGGCAATTTATCAAACGTTTTAGTTTCCCTACATACCGCCCCCATATACCGCACATCAATAGTCGAAGTGGGGAAATATTAAGGAAGTAATCAGGAGTTTAATGGTTTCAAGTGGAAATAAGTGGCAGAGGTAATTTAGTCGTTTTAAAATGGAATAGGCACGTCGGGAAATATCGGATACATGGTTTTTCCAGAAAAAGATTTGATCAAAGGTTCTTGATCGTGGGATATAATTTGAAGTGATTATCGTGTAGGACCAGGTTGGTATGTTAGGAACAGTTTTAAGGAGGTGAGTGGAACCTATCAAAATTGCCTTGGGACAAACTTTATCATCAGGGCATAGAAGTTCATCCTGGTGTCCACTGTGTGCTTCCGCGACATTCTGCGGAGCATTTGGCATTCTGGGAAAGATATCATCTAAGGATACCGTCTTTTCCAATACCACACCTCCTGTGTCGGGCCATTCTACTTTAACAAATTTATTTTCGCCGCCTCCTGCAGTAGCCACAGATATCGATGAGGCAACAACCGTCTCTTGAGCAAGTCCTCCAGTTCTCAGAACCCATACCTTTTGGTCAACTTCAATCTTTGCCATTGGTCTTTTGTTCATTGCAATATTAGTTGTTTTCATTTCATTATAAAAGGAAGTGTGAATTACTATTTACACTTTCCTGCAAGCTCTTTAAATATAAATTTCCTTTCCAAATATAACATATCACTGTCATCTATAACGATTAATTTTAATATACATTATTAACTGTTAAATATAATTTGAAGAAATAGGTACTAGGCCGTTTGTAAACTGTTTATTATGGGTGACTAAAGACAAAACAAAAAAGTCAAGTTGAAATAGAATTTATATTGTAAATAGAGAATAATTTCGTTAAACAGATTTGTTATGAGACTCGTTCCATTTCTTAATTTGAGGCAACGAGAGGACGGTGTCGTTCAAGCGTTTCAAATTTTGATGCTTTTCTGTGAGATCATATCCTACTGCCTCCTTGATTCTTCCCATCAGAGCGACGAAGAACACATCTCCCCAAGACAACTGCAAATAAAATGGCTTATGATTATTAACATTCAATCAAACCAATACAAATTAAACAAACTCTATTTAAAATTTTTTTCTTCACACTTAGTAGTGATCCGAGTAGTAGGATCAACGGCTGAGGTGGATAAACATAAATGTTATAGTGTAACAAATTATAGTTATATGTCTATGGTGTATAATTTCGCTAACAAAACCCTGCGCTTGCATGGCATAGCAATTCGACACAACTACACTATATCTGGAATGCCTAATCCCCCTCCCCCCCCCACACCCCTCACTTAATCATTAATAAATAAAATAGCTATGGTGTTGGGTCAGTGCTATTTTGAATAATTCTTGTTTTATATTATAAATCGATGACCAACTTCACAGGCAACGTAAGTGCAAACTTTGGTAGTTTAAAACAAAAAGAAGTATTAAATCGGTGTAATGAAGTGCCACTTCCTTGTTCTTAAACTATAACATGTCCAGTATATAGCGATTTCAGTTTCCTTTTTACAGTACTACAAATACTTGATAATTTGTAAAATATTTCATGTTATTGTATAACTTATCTCAGGTGACCTAGATTAGATCTCTTTCAGCACCTGGCAAATATATGTATATTATGTAAAAAATAATACATGTAATGTAATGTATTTTGAAATGAAATGAAATGAAAAAATAATTTTATTCTGGCTACAGTCTGACTACAGTCCCCTAAGAATAATAACAGTGCTACAAATTTATGGGTAATAGTCTGGCTTAAAATAATAAAAAATACAAACTAATTAGTAATGAATAATTGAGCAGTTCTTCAGCACCACTTCTATTATAATTAATGATAATTAAGATTATCATTATTCTTTGCGTATGTAAAGAAATGATTCGTAAGCTATTCATGTAATGTAAAGAAATGTACAGCTTACCTTCCCGTTAGCGAGGTATCCATTATTCTTCTCAACCCTCTCATCAAGTTTTTCAAAATAAAATGGTAAAGTTTCCTTGTTCAATTCTTCTAATTTCTTCACTTTGACTTCTTCATTAGTTTCATATCGAGCACCGGAGAGTGCTAAACATATATTCAAAGCTTTCGTTATTAAAAATATTTTTAAATTGTTAATTTCTGAAATACTAATCGTGAACAATTTAAAACATTGGATTTGTAGGCCTTTCATAATTATTTTACGAAGTACCAAGAACACAATGGCTATCAAGGAAATAATCAGCCTTTAGGGTAATGTAAAGTAACCCATAGGAGCATAGGGCTAATGTAATGTAACCCATAGGCTAATGTAATGTTATCCATAAGGGTAATTTAACGTAACCCATAGGCGTAATGTAATGTAATCCACAGGTGTATAGGAGTAATACAAGGCAACCCTTAGAGGTAATGTAATGTAACACATAGGTGAATAGGAGAAATGCAAGGCAACCCATAGAGGTAATGTAATGTAACACATAGGTGAATAGGAGTAATGCAAGGCAACCCATAGAGGTAATGTAATGTAACACATAGGTGAATAGGAGTAATGCAAGGCAACCCATAGAGGTAATGTAATGTAACACATAGGTGAATAGGAGAAATGCAAGGCAACCCATAGAGTTAATGTAATGTAATCCATAGTTGTATAGGAGTAATGCAAGGTAACCCATGTCAATGTGAATAGATAAACATATGCTCGATACACACCAATGTGAATAGATACATCATGTATTCGATACACACTAATGTAAATAAATATATCATGTGTTCAATATATACCATACCAAACTGAATAGATCATGTGTTCGTTACAAACTAATAAACTAATGTGAATAAATATGTCATGTGTCCGATGCACACCAATGTGAATAGATAAATCCTGTGCTCGATACACACCAATGTGGATAGATACATCATGTGTTCGATATGAAGCAGACACATTTATTTTACAAACATCCATTAACCAGTTTATAACCTCACTTGATATGATTTTTATGATACTTATATGATATGTGATTTTTTACATTACTTTTAATTATTAATTTTTAGCTGATAAATTCTCTTTGTTTTTTGTGCGTTCCAAAAAATTAGTTGAATAGAATTATTTTTTTATTTGTTTGACAACATTGGTAATCTCGACATTATTTTAATACGCAAAACAAGTCGAAAGCAAACTATTCCAATATTTGGGGACAAATTTCGTATTTCTTCGTATTGCTGCATTTGTACTGCATTGAAGTAAGACCTAAGCTGTGCAGCTGCAGAATTGGTTAATGGCTCTCCACTTATTCTCCCTCATGAATTTTTTGTAAATCGACCTGCAGTTGATCAATCTGATTTCTAGTGTTACACCAAGACTAGTGCAAGACCAAGAAGAGTCTTGAACACTCAGTCTTCTTCTTGATCTTGGTCTTGCTGTTACCTATTGGCTTGTCTATAGTGATATTGCTGTAATTTTTTAGATTGGAAAAACCTAACTAAGCCCGAATAAATAATTAGAAGAGCTAAATGCAAAAGTATGTTGGTTATACAAATTCTTTATATATAGTTACTAAAATCGTCAAATATTAGTAACCATTTTTCCTTTATTTTCATTTAAAAAATCGAAAATCCTTTTTTTTACCAGTATTGGTCTTGGTCTTGCAATAGTAAGGCCCTTTTGATCTTGGTCTTGCAAAGTGCGTGGTCTAGCACTTTGCAAGACCAAGACCGATTTTGGACATCACTTCTGATTTCCGTACTCTCTTTCAGAGAACCATAATGGATTTGCAACCTGTACAACCCTCGAGAAATGGAACACAGAAACCCTTTTTATCACATCATCTTGTTCTCACGTTTTTCTACGTCAGGAGTTTTTTCATTTCTAAGATGCAACCATCTTGTAAATAAGATGGTTCTGAAGGACCCCGCTCGTGCTCAAACGCCTAAAAAAATATTTTGATATTACAATGAAGGGTAACCAAACAAGAATTGTGATCGGCCGGCTCAACCCTGCGTTTCTATTAATAATCTACTATGAATTATCACTAGGAATCTGATGAGCTCCAGCATCAATGAGAACCACCAACCACCTCAATGACCACCGAATAGCTTCAAGAACCAAGACAATCATGCGCCTGCGTATAGGTCATACATACCTTACCCAAGATTCCTCTGACAGTGAAACACATTTTAACAGAATGAATAGCTTACGAATCATTTAGGCTTGAGGGGAACATCTTGTGACTTTTCTACACATCTACACATCATTTGGATGACGATACGAATGAAATTGACAAACTATTTTTTTTTCTGAAATGTTCAAAACTTGGGGGTGGGGTGGCCGAATGGGCTAAAGCGTGTGCACAGCACAGTGAGTTGCCTGGCAACCGGATTACAGATTTGAGAAGATTTAAAAAGTACGAGTTCGCGTCCCGGTTGCCGGAGGGGATTTTAAATTCCCCGTCCTCACCCCCCGGCCCGGGAAAATCCCGTATAGCCTAAAAGGCGAGGTAGGGAAGAACAAAAAAAAAAATGTTCAAAACTTGAAAATAGAATTTAATTCGCAATAAAAATAAGGCGATAATGATCCTAGTGGTTGAAGCCTTGGTGAAGCCTTTAATAGTTGCTGGAATTTTGTTGTGTTGTGAAATATATGAAATATGTATGAACTACCAAATAAATAAATTTAAAAAAATAAAGAGAGTATGGTATTTCACATTCTACAACATGTATTATTACGATGTTATTGGTTAACTTTTTACAATAGTAGCATTATCCTTTAAACTTTTTAGGCTACCGATGATGTGTAGCTAAAAGATAGGTTACCTTGGCGGATGTCATGGATAACATCGACTACCATGTCGATCTGAAGTGCTTCCAAATCGTCATCTCCAGCCAGCATGGCCTTCCTTCCCAGGTAACGACATATGGCAGTCGATTGGGCTACAACTTGCCCTTCAAATTCCAAGGTAGGCACTTTGCCGAACGGTGTTGCTGTAATAATTAATAATAATCGTTACTAACAAGTTTATATTATACGGTTAAAATAAAGTGTGTATTAGTTGTTAAACTGTTTAAAATAGATGGATGTTTGTGGATGAGTGAAGTCAGAGTGCTTACCAAGATAAAAAGGGATCATAAAGCACATACACAAGCTACCTATTATGGGCTAAAATATTCAAACATTTATACAAACGGCACTATCGCTGGTACAAACAGGCCCTGAAACAATATTTATTAAACACCAAAAAAGGGGCAAAAAAAGTTTCAGGTTTTCTTGCCTAAATGGAGAGCCCAATTCTAAATTATTTTTCACCATTTTTAAGAAGAAGAAATACATTTTCTTGAGAGGGAAGGACAGGGGAGGCATCATCGCTCTAGAAGATGCAAATCTTTGATACACACGACATGAATGATTTGGTAAACGATAAATATAAATTCCAACGCTGTATCACACGAAATAATAGCAAATCGATCGTAAATCGGAAACATTAAAATGGTGTTGTAAAATATTTTGTGTATGCTTGTATGTCCAACAGTAGTGCTGTTCTAAAAAAAAACGTTCTGTTATCTTTCACAGATGTGACATATTATAATGGTATTAAATAGTACGTATGTAAAAACACATGCATATTCAAATGTAACGGTATGCCAAAATTCAAAAGCAATCGGTGAAAATTTTTCGAAAATTTAAGATTTTGAACAAACGGATATTTAGATTTTTATTCGACGTCGTCAACGTATTGTGATATTAAACTTATCAAAAACTTTTCTATCTATTCCATTTGAGCTACAGCAACGCGTACAGGCACAGTTAGTAATTATTATTTATTTATTAATAAATAAATTATTATTTATTATACTTGGTTTGATCGAAGGCCATTCTTCTCGTGACAACCTCCTGTCTTCGAACTCGTCTCCCAAGATGCTGAGCAGCCACCTGATGGGTTCTCCGAACCCGGGCAGGTCGAAGTAGGTCAGCTTATATTTTGCCATTTCTCTAAACATAAAGCCCTAAATAACATCTCATTAAAAGGAAGCTCATAGTTTAGGTATTTATAGACTGAAGGAAGTTAGTTGAGTGTTCTACACATACCATGAGTGATAGATATTCAGAACGCAGTCAGTTTTTAAGAGTTTTATTTGCCGACGCTTCAACCCAAGATTATGGGACATGATGATGGTTGGGCGTCTTATATTACAGCTCCTACTACTGCAGGTCGGAGATTGAGCATAGAGCTAATGATCCCCTATCCAATTATAAAAAACTAGGATGCTACAAATTGCTTAAAAAAGTTTTCCATCCTTTAGGAAAGTACCTGATAAAGAAGTAGTGAATGTGATCGTGCCCGGTTATTATGAAACACATGCTCCATGGATATCGTCTAGAGAACCAAAAGATCACAACTGTCGCCTGTAACTGCTACGACTCATGGCGAAAGTATAAGAAGTCAAGAAGCATAAGAAAAAATAAAAACATAAAAAAAAAGCCATCAGGACATGTTACCAGCACTGAAGGTATTGAAGTGCTCCATCAGTACTTGAACACTTTCAGTGCTGGTAACATGTCCTGATGATGACCCAACTTGTACCATTACAGCGCATGAAGAATTTTTGGTTCAGTTCTTTGTTATGAAGTACTGTTCCAAGGCCAAGTTGTGCAGGGAGATGATCAGGCCAAGATCACGCTCAACCGCCAGGTTTTCTCCTTTAATTAACTATTTAATTAAGAGTATCCCCACTTAATAGTTTCTGGGTGTACTCTGATTAAAAATTACTTGACATCACCTGGATTCGAACCCATGACCTTGATCTTACTAGTCCAGCGCCAACTCACTCCTCTTCCATATCTATCACCCATTATTTATACATACATATATATAATATAAAATGAAGATCAATGTTCTATCTTAGCGTTCTGTAAACGTTAAAAACTTAAAAGCCATTCATAATTTCTACAATGGAAGGTGATGAGAAAAAATTTAATAGGAGCTATATTTGTATTTAAATCATTTTTTTTTTTTTTGTACGCAATCTTATGAATTATCAGTCTACCGCTATGTAAGTAAATGATCAAGCAATTTAAATTATGAGAAAATTATGATTCTGTTTCTAATTAAAATTTTAGATTGGTATATACTCATGAGAAAATTTTCTCTTATGTGTTAAACTTTTATAGGCAGTTTTTAGTTCCACTCGATTCCACCAGTTTCGATGGAGTATTTTTGGAAAAAAGTTGTAAAGAACTTTTTAAAGTTCTGAATTTATTTTAAAAGGTTAACTACAGCCTGTATTTTTCTCTATGTTCGCTTATACAGACGATTTGGTGGTTAGTTTGGTGAAGCAATGGATGAAACCTGCTATTCAACCTCCGCATTCTTCAGGAAGAATTAAATAAGATAAATATGCAAATAAATGTGGAAAAAACAAACCTACAAGGATTGGCAGAAAACAAGAAAGAGGAGACAGAATAGTGCACTTGAGTGGAGGTCCATTGGAACAAGTGAAAAATTTTAAAGTTCTCGATGTCTACATCAATGAACATTACTGGATCGACGGTGAAATAAAGAAAAGAGTGAAGTCAGCAGGAAGGTGCTTCATCGCCATCAAGGAATGATTCTTTAACAAGAGAGAAGTGAACAAGGAGACCATAACGAACGTGTACAAAAATACTTTTCTCCCGATAATGACTCTACTCCAGCGAGTCGTTCTGGATCCTCACCACAAAACACATCAGTTAGATTCAGGCCATGGAGGTGCGATTCCTGCGCAGGGTCGAAGGAAAAACAAAGTGAAATGGCATAAGGAACTCTACAATAAGGAAAAATCTAAACATAAGACCAGCCGAAACTGTGATAGAGGAAAATCGTTTGAGATGGTTTGGCTATGTCTCTCGAATGCCAGAGAATGGAGTGGCCAGGATGGCGTTGGAAAGCAAAATTGAGGGAAGAAGGCCTCAGGGAAGGCCCAGAAAGACTTGGGAGGTCAGTGTCAAGGAGGCCTTTGACAGAAGGGATATTGATTGGAGGAGGCGGCGGTTGGTTGAGGATCGACAGTTGTGGATTGGGCTCTGCAAGAAGGCTCCTCATACCGCTCAGTGTGAGGAGCTTCTCTCTCCACCGCTCCTCACACCGGCATAAAAGGAAACGATTAAGAAGAACAAGTTTAACTTTTATTTACATTAGTCCTTTAAAAATAATGGATTACGCTGTTCTTACTCTAGAGACCCGTTCCATTTAGAAAAAGTGTACTTTTGGCAGATAGCTATATCATTAGTTTTATCATGGATATGAAGCTGTGGCATAATATGGAGCTTTATCATGAGGACAATATTTAAATAATGTGTACCGGCCGAAAGAGCAAACTGGGGTAATTTATTTATTTAAGAGCAAAACTTATATACTTTTGATTATTATTTTGCTTCTATTTATTTTATATTTTTTGTACATATACTGTGAATGTTATCCTACCTCACTATAACCAATGTCCAAGAGACAGATTGTTGAAATACTCAATAAATAAATAAAAAAATAAAAAAAGAGCAAAATTTATATCCATATTTTACAACTCGAAAACCATTTAAATACAAATTTGTAATGTTCTGCTAAAAGATTTTGTCTTCCTGCTTTAGTAGCTTCGATTTTTTTTTCAGAAAATCACAAATATTGTGATAACTTCATGACGACTCCACCGAACCAGACAAAACTCAGTAAACATGGTGGAGGTAAATAATGAAATGAGTGATGTTACATAAGGTTAAGTTGTAAGTTTTGTGCCTCACCTTTGCTACAACTGATGAAGCGGCAGAGCTCGACTGTTAATTAACCTACGGTGTCATCTAGAGATAAATATGTGGCGCTATCTCGAGTTATCTTTGTTTACTCTAGATAGCTTTCTTCTAACTTGAATAACATTGAACCAAAATATGAAATCATTGCAACTATAAAAATATGGAATATCAAATATTAAATGCTAATTCGGATTAGGTTCACTAAACTTATGTAGATAAATACCATGAAACCAGAACATTTATTGATATATTATGTATTAGAATATTATATAGGTAATATTACAGTTCTTTAATATATTATCCACTAAAAACTGGGGTGGAACTTTTATGAGGTAATCTTTCCAATGACAGGAAAAAACATCATATTTTCCAAGAGCAAGGAAGAGCTTTGCTATTTTATTAATAAGCACGACATAGGTCTCCAAAATGTACAACACTTTCTCTTTTTGCCTCAAGGCATAGCTGCATGAAATGTCCGGGTACCTGAAATACTATGCCAAATTATTAGAAAGCATTGTCTTTCTCACTTCTCAGCTGCTCAATATTTAATTATCCTCGCCTCTTTTTTTTCTTAATACTGAAGATGACCTACAGTGTAGGTCAAAACGCTGGCGCCTTATACCATTAAATTTTATTACCTCTTTCAGTAAAATATTTTATGTTAATTTTTACAGTTTGAAATCGGTTCTCAAATTTTATAAAGGTTTGTGATTTAAAAGTATTGTGGAAGGTTAAACCTCCCACTATGCTCTCCCCAATCGTCTTAGTCCTCAATATAAATATTATGGAAATGTAATAAGTTTTAAAAAGTAAATAAATAAAATAGAGTAATTACGGGGAATAATAAAGCCAAATCACAAATCTCAACAAAGCTTAAACCTTTTTTTTTATTTGTTTGTAATAATAATTTTCAGGGGATAATTACGTGAAGAAATCATTAAACACAAAAATATTTAGTATTTTTAAATTAAGATACTCTTTCGACGAATATCTGTTTAAAAAAAAATGTATGCTTGAACCTTTGGTTCCATATTATTTTATTATTATAAATTTATATATTTCAACATTTATTAAGTCAGTTTTTATTTCAATTTAGACTTGAATTATCAAATTCATTTTAATTCAGAATTTATCATAATGTAAAACATGATAATCTCAAAATAAAAAAAAAACGCGTAAAATTATCGATTTACTTTTTTTTCATTCGATTCGGAATAAGAAAATACATATAAAATTAGCCCTATTTGAATTTTAAAGCTGTATGCCTAAAGTGAGCGAAGTTTTTTTCCAAGAATAAGGTGTTTTGCTCCGAAGTGCGGCGGCTCAAAGCCTACATCACTCCGCCTTGCGGCCAACTTTTGCTCTCACATTTTATTCTTCGTTCCACAAAATCTAGCCGTGCGCCGAAGGCTGGGGGCAAGTTCAACACAGCCTGGTCAGGTGACGTCATATCACAAGCCGTTCTTCATGATAATTATTTTTTTTAATATTACATTAGAAAACTCGTCTTTGAGGATGAATTCTCTATATATTTATCTTTTCTTTAAATAGCTGCTTTTTGTAACTCTTTCGGAATTTTTGTTCACCATCCCGGATTTGCTAGTGCTGGTGACAACAATCATTTTTTTATATATGACATTAGAAAATTCGTATATGACGATGAATTTTCACTATATTTCACTTTTCATTAAACAGCTGCTTAAAATATTATTTTTCGAAAGGAAGATATTTCGATATTCGGCCCAGTTAAGGAGAATAATGAAAGGAGATTTAGACGCAACCAATAACTAGCCGACTTATACAAGGAGCCGGATGTGGTGAAATATATTTGTGTAGCAAGACCGAAATGAGAGGTTCAAGTTGTACGGATGGACGAGACTTCAATTCCAAAGAAGCTGCTAAGCATGGAGCGGGTGGAAAAGAAAAGTGGACAGACCGAAACTGAAATGGAAAGATGGCGTAATTGCTGATGCCAGAATTCTTGGCATCAGGAGCTGGTGGAGGCTGCTCAGGACAGGGAACATGGAGGAAAACTCATGAGGCAGCCAATGTAATGGATTTTCGAGCTCAGGATGATGATGATCACTTTAGAAAAATCGTCTTAGAAGATGTTTTCTCTTTATTTCTTTTTTCTTAAAGGAGCATTTTTTAAACCCGTTTTTCGGATATATTTTCCCCCATCCAGAGGGGGGGAGAGGTGCCCAAGCAGAAATCACTAGTGCTGGTCACGATCATATTTTTTATATATATTACTTTAGAAAATATGTGTATAAGGATAAATTTCTTCTTTTTTAAATAGCTGTTTTTTGAAAATCCTTGCAGAATTCGCTAGTGCTGGTCACGATGATAATTTTTTTTATTTCACATTAGGAAATCCATCAATGAGAATGAATTTTCCCTATATTTCTCTTTTATTTAAATAGGTGTTTTATGGAACTTTTTTCAGTCTAATGGCGCAATATCCTAATCGATCATGTACCAATTTCTAAAAGACATAGTTCCTCAATAATAGATATTAAATCTGCACGCGGTCCTGATTGTGACACCGACCATTATACGGTTAGAATCAAATTTGGAGAGCGACTCACAAAAGTCAAACTTGGAAAACAACATAATAGGGAACGGTGGAACTTGGAGACAGTAAAAGATCTGCAGTAAAGTCACAGATTTGAAAGAATCAATGGATAAAAATATGGAAGAAAAACTGAAAGAGGACGCAAAGGAAGATGAGTAAGTAGAAAAGGCATGGCATAGAATAAAAACCGTAATGATGGAATCGGTGGAGGAGGTAGTCGGTTTGGAGGATAGGAGGATAGGAGTAGAAGGGAAGAGTGGTTTGACGATGAATGTTTGGAAGCATTCAAGCTAAAAAATAATAAAGCATCACGCGAAGATTTACTAATAGCCGAATTCTTTAAAGGTAGCAGCGAGAATATGCTCACACATCTATATAATTTGCTCATGGACACATATGGAAGAATGAAAGTATGCCTCAAGAGTAGGGGACTAGTTTGATTTGTTCCATCTTTAAAAAAGGAGATAAACTGCAATGCATAAATTACAGAGGAATATCCCTCTTGCAGGTAGTATACAAAATATTCTCTAATATTAGCCTGAAGAAACTAAATGTCTACGCTGAACGCATTCTATAATATAATGCAGAATATTAGTGTGGGTTCCGTAAAGGAAAAGGAACCGTCGACCAAATCTTTGTAATGAGACAAATATTAGAAAAGTGTTGGGAGTACGAAACTGCAATTCATGTTCTTTTCATCGATTATCGTTGGCGATAATCTTGGTTTGGGCCTTCGACACCATTAATAAGAGCAACTTGATTAAAGCATTGATAGAATACAACGTTCCGAAAAAGATGACAACATTGATCCAGATGACTCTAAGCAGTAGTAATGCCAAAGTTATTGCCAACTGTAGTGAAAGAGAAATACTTTATTAAAATTAATGCTGCCCTACTACCTAGGGTTGCTTCGTACACAGCATACCTATCAATCCACAAGGAGATTAATTTTATATTTCATTTTTCTATTTTTTATACATATATACGTCATATCTTTCCTTTCTTTCTCTCTCTTTCCTCTTTCCCCTCATAACAATACACTTACAAGTTATCAACAATAAAACCATATTAAATAATATACATAGCACTATAAACATTTTCCCGAGACAAAAAAAAAAAAAATATATTTCCCTGTTTCTCTCTTTAAATTTTCAAACGCCAGGAACTCATTACAACATCGCACACATACATAACACAGCAATTCCCAGAATGTAGACAAAAAGACAGGACAACAGCGGATCAATTCAAAATTCAATAAACAATTATTACCAGATGTCCTCAATCGGTATAAATATGATAGTGGATGATCCCCAGGGAATCCAAAATAATATTTTCGGCCAATACCGCGAGCTCCCCAACATCAACACCTAGTTTCTCGAGAAAGCTCCTTGTTCTTTCCGGGATCGTTCCGCGAGACCCAAACCAGAGGCTTCTCACGGTGAACTCTCTCTCTCCGAAGGTCTCGCGGAATTTCTCTTTTAGAAAAGGGATGCATTTGTCGTATATATTCCTCTTTTCCCTTTCCACTTCACCCGCCTGATCGAGGTCGTTGCTCTCAAAGCGGACAGTTGGATCCAAGATTAGCGCTGTCCTTCCTGTTCTGGGAAACTCGACAATATCCGCATATCTTGTAGAGCCTTCACTGTCTATGCAATAAACCTCGTCAAAGCAGGTGAATTCCTTTTCTCTAAGGAGCCTCATCCCCTCGAACTTTACCCTATGGTGCCTGGAGGGAATTGTTGGGGCATTTTCCCAGCACATGGGCTGGTGTTTCCGACAGAGGGACCCAACTTCGACTATCCACTGGCTCCTGGGACTCCGCGTAAAGGTGCGTAATTGATGTTTAGTTTTAAGGCGTTGGAGCATTCCGACCCCGAAAGCACTTTTTTCTGGCATATGTATTTATTGGCTTTCGGGGTCTCTTTAAAGTGGCGAACTCCAACGCCTTGCCACCTGCAACTGGCCCATTCTTCAAAAGAGTTTTCTCTCAGTGACTGTCGTAGAGCTCTCACGCTTCGGTGGCCCTGATCCACTCCCAGTCTTTCCGCACATTCCGCGATTTCCGCATTATAATCAAATGTAGACTGGAACAGGGAATCCGGCACATTAGACAGCCGCTGGGCAATGGACCAATGCTGCAAAGGAGCCTCCCATTGACAGCGGATCAGTCCCAATCCACAAAACCTCCTCGGTGCATAAAACATCGCCGTTAATGCATTAGCACGGAGCCCGATAATGGCCTTGACACTCCTGCGGATATTTGTATCGATTCCTTCCAATATCGCAGGACGTATCTTTGTGAGGGGCGCCGTCTGAAGAGGTTAAGTAAGTCCCGGGAACTGGTTTACAACGTTGATCTTCTGCTCCGGCTTAAGAAGACAAGAGCTAACCAATTTGTCTAAGTTGTTGTTTAATTTGGTCACCATTTCCTCATTTAATACCAGCTCTCCCGAGAACGCACATCCTAAATACTTTAT